TGATCGTCTTCTTATGCGTTGTCTTGCCGGGGAACCTTCGGTGATCGCAGAAGGCGGCGGGGAACCTCCAGTGATCGTTTTCTTATTCGTTGTTTTGCCGATGGGCGCGGGTCCTCTCACCCCCCCTCCCTCCCCCCCCCTATGGGGCAGATCTTCGCTGTGTTGGGCACCTGTTTCGAGCAGGCGGGGCCTCCCCCCTAGGACGCACTGCTGCAAACAGCAGCATCGAGCAGAGGTCCGGGCCCCCTCCTCTTTCCGCCCGATGCCGAGACACCGAATAAGAAGACATTCACCTGAAGCCTTTTGGCCTGCTGAAAAGTGCTGCTGCGTCTTCGGGGAAGTCTCAGAAAGCCAGTCATAAGGGCGGCGGCCTGCAGAGCCTTCTCGGAAGGCCCGCCCCCTCTCATTTGTTCCCCCTGGGCTCGCCGCCGATGTATGGATGTTCTTCTTGTTCTTAACATGTCTTCCCTCTTCTCCCCGCCTTCCGATACCGGCGGCAGGCTCCGCAGCCCCTGCTGTGATAGGTAATGCTGTTCTCTGTGTGGCAGCATGCCCGCCATCCCTGCCCCCCCCTCCCCGCAGCCCGTAGCCCTATCCCCCATCTCTCACTCTCTTCTTCATTCCCTCTCACTCTCTCTCTGTCTCTTTATGTATCATGTATGTATGTATGTATGTATGTATGTATGTATGTATGTATATATATGTATATATATATGTATATATATGTATATGTATATGTATATGTTTATGTATATGTATATGTATGTGCATATGTATATGTATAGGTATATGTATATTTATATGTATATGTATATGTATATGTATATGTATATGTAAATGTATATGTATATGTATATGTATATGTATATGTATGTGTATGTGTATATGTATATGTATATGTATATGTATATGTATATGTATATGTACATGCGTATGTATATGTAGATGTATATGTGTATATATGTATTATGTCTCTCTCTCTCTCTCTCGCTTCCATTGTCTGTATATTTCTCCCTCATCTCTCGCTCTCTCTCTCTCTCTCCTGATCCCTTTCTCTTTATATATATATATATAAAAATATAGAGTTGTAAATGTATGTACATATATATATATAAAGTTATATATACATGTATATATATAATTATATTCATACACACATATGTCTAGACATCCCTCCTCCTCTTCCTCCTACTCCTCGTCGTCGTCCTCCTCCTTCTATCCTCCTCCTTCCCCTCCGCAGACGCCCGCGCCGCCGCGGAGCGCGATGGTGCTGCTCCGCAGCGCGGCGCCGCGGCGAGCGGCCACGCCGCGCGGGCCGGGCCCCGCCAGGGGCTCGGCCCCGCGCGCAGGGCCGCCTTCCTGGACGGTCACGCAGCGGGGCCCCAGACATGCTCGCGTCGCAAACACGTCGGACCCCAGAAGTCCTCCTCCTGCTCCTCCTCCTCCTGCTCCTGCTCCTGCTCCTGCTCTTCCTCCTCCTCCTCCTCCTCCTCCTCCTCCTCCTCCTCCTCCTCCCTCTTCTCCTCCTCCTCCTGCTGCTGCTGCTGCTGCTGCTGCTGCTGCTGCTCATCCTCCTCCTCCTCCTCCTGCTGTTGCTGCTGCTCCTGCTCCTCCTCCTGCTGTTGCTGCTGCCCCCCCCCGAGTGAGGAAGGTCGATGGAGGATCGAGGATCGAGGATCGAGGAGGAAGGGCGATGGAGGATCGAGGAGGAGGAGGGTCGAGGATCGAGGAGCAAGATCGAGGATCGAGGAGGAGGGCCCAGGGCGCAGGCGGGCCTTCCCTGGCGCCCCTGCTCCGCTGCGCTGCGCATTTCCTGCCCTGCTGCGTCGGTCTGCCCCTGGGCGGGCCCCCCCCGTCCCAGACACAGTCGGGGCCCTGAAGAAGGAACCCTTCTCGTTGGGGAGGGGCTCCGTGTTCCTTAGTGGTTTCGCAGTTTGCCTCGGGTTGTTCTCAGGTTTTCCATGGGAAATCGAAGTTCCATGTGTGGAGAAAAGGGGCACCGTTCCTTATTTAGGGTTCCTTAGGTCAACGCCCCGACTGTATGCTCGCGTCGCAAAAAAAAACAATCAGGACAGGAGGTTCTTGGCCATGTTCGGCCTCTGGAGGCCCTCGCCGAGCCCCAGGACCGTCGAGCAACGACTCAGGCGAGCGTTTTCTTGTTCGGCGTTCCAAGGTTGGGCGGAACGGGCGGGGGGAGGGGGCGCGGTCTGGCTTCGGACCTCTGCTTGATGCGGCTGTTTGCGCCAGTGCGTCCTATGGGGGACACCACCTGCTTGAAACAGGCGCCCAAACAGCCAGGGGGAGGGGGGGTGCGAGGGCCCGCGCCGATCGGCAAAACAGTGAACAAGAACACGACGACCAGGATGGAAAGCCGGCCCCGGGGGCGGGGGCGGGGGCTTGCGGGGACCGCGCGTCGAACGAGTCAGGACGTCGCATTTCTGGGGGCGTGGGAGGGGGGGGGAGGAGGCTCCGCCCCTCTCCGCCATACAGTCGGGGCCCTGAAGAAGGAACCCTTTTCGTTGGGGAGGGGCTCCGCGTTCCTCAAGTGTTTCGCAGCTTGGCTCAGGTTTCCCTTAGGCTTTCAATGCGAAATCGAAGTTCAACTTATGGAAAAAAAGGGGTCTCGTTCCTTATTTTGGATTCCTTAGGTCAAGCCCCACGACTGTATCGTCCCCCCGCTCCCCTCTCCGCCCTCCCTCGGACGCGCCGCCGCCCTCTCCAGGAGTGCCCGCGCGCCCACCCCGAGATCGTGGAGGGGCTCTACGCGATATCCGCGAGGCCCCGCGGCGCCTCCGCCCCTCTGCGTCGCCCTCGTGCGCCCATGGGGACTCCACGGGGGGGCCTTCCCGGCCGGCGGGGGCGGAGGCGGTGATGCGAATCAAGCATCGGGAGCCTCGAGACGGGGGTCAATGCAAACGGGGGTCAGCCAGGGCACCAGATCCTGCAGGATCCTGCGAAGACCCCCTCTGGCTGACCCGGGCTAGCGAGCCGCTCGTGGCCGCGAGGCGGCCGCGCACATTGGCTGACCTGGGTTTGCGAAGATCTGCGTTGCAGTTTTTTGTCCTGCATTGCAGTTTTTTGGTTTCCTGCTGACCCGGGTCTGGATTGACCCGGGTCAGAAGATCCCCGAGATGCGAGTCAAGCAGCGGCGGAGCGTCCTGACATGGGCCTATAGGCCTACCAAACAAT